TAAATCTGAAGTGGCCTCATCAATACGTAGTGGGATTCCAATGGCCTTAGCTGGGGCAAACAGACTACTCTTTGCCCGAAAGTGAATGGGCAATAATGGGAATGAAACCCAAACAGGGACAATAGGAGTCTCATGCCTAGGATTAAAGCTGGACGTCCACTTAAAAATGCGCATGAGACAGCCATCGATGTACCAAGAGGGCTTGAGAAATAGGCGTGGGTAATCATCCTCATGTGCCAAGTGTATTAGAATATGAGTCGCATCAATAAGTCCGATCATATAGTCACCATAAAAACCAAATTTTTGAAAGCTATCACGTACCTTAATCATGGAGGGCTTGCGACTTGAGAATTTGCCAACAAGAGTAAATTTATACGGTTCAGAAAGAAAGTCCTCTTCTTCCTCGGTAAAGGTAACTGTCGGCTCTCCCATATGCATGAAAGGTTCCTTAGAGGTGAACCTGTGGTCATTGGAGTCTGGTGGGGCTTGCAAAACCTATGCAAAAGACTTCCGTTGGCTGCGTTCAGCTTGAGAGACTATAGATTTATCGAAAAGTGCGGCCGCATATGACTTCCTAGCTTGATTAATTACTATAGGGACCTCCCGTGGCAAATCCGATGATGGAATTAGGTCCGTAACAAAATTCCCCACATTTTGTTGAAGTGTCACCAGCGCATGACCACCACGCGCCGGCCGTCAGATTACACTTTAAACAAAAACACTGAATCATTTTTCAAAACAACAAAATGTAATTTATTTGAAAAAAATATAACTTGTTCTTGCATTCTGCGTTACTCAAAACTTTGAAGAAATAACATTGAAAAACATTTCATAAAAATAAATCCAAAATCACTTATTCACCGGATTTCCATGGGCTCGTTGCATCACTCTCCATCTTCTCCTCCATCCATACCCGAGGTAGAATTCCTTCAATGTGTAGAGATGGGATTAAACCCATGAGTTGAAAAACTCAATAGGCGTCGTAGGTGCATTCGTGATCAAGCTATACATTTCAAAATATTAACTTTATAACTTTTCATACATGCCGTACCCTAGGGCACCATTTTACATACGAACATTTCTTCAACATAAAGGGATATGCCGTACCGGAGTACCATTTGACATATAAACATTAACATGAATCGGAACTTATAACTTAATACAATTAAACACATTGTACCTCTGCCTACCTTGATTGATGCTTTTGAAACTTTGAAAACTTGGATTGAAAACTTCAATAAAACTTGGACATTGAAAGAAATGCATTCCTTGGATGTTTGAAAACCGTTGAGAATTGATGCTTGAAAACACTTCTTAAACTTCTAGAAAAAATAGTTTTCTTCCCTCTCTTTTTCTCTCTTGGAAACTCTTTCTTTAGTATGTAAAAGCTCTTTCTTTTGGTGTGAGAGAAAATGAGTGAAATGAGGTCTCTATTTATAGGTAAATATCCCGTAACTTAAAGCAAATGAAGGGTCAAATTTCATTTAAGAGAGAAAAGATGGGTGCCATTTAAGTTTGAGGTTAAATGTTTCAATTTAGCGGGGTTTTTATTGCCATAAACATGGGTGGCCCTTTGAGAAAATAATTGATGAAAATAAATATTTAAATTCTAGAGAAAAATGAGAATTTTCATTTCAGGCAGTTTCGGTCGACCAGTTGTAGTCCGGTTGACACTGCACAGCTTTCAGTGTTTCTATCATAACTTCTTCTCCTAATATCCGATTGAGGTAATTCAAAGTGCATTGGAACGCTAACTCAAAGAGCTACAATAATATTTATATATAATTTTCCAAATAGAATTTTCCTATGTCAAAAATGGGTCTCAAATGAGACTAAAAATCTGAACTATACTTTAGTCATCCAATATTCATGTCTTAGTGCCACTAAGGTATCTAGAATTATTTGGGGTTCTACAAAAACTATTTGAAATTTAAACTTTCCAACACGTTAATGTCACGAGGCAAAGTGTAAACTAAAGTGTACACCATAGTGTACATGTCGCAAGGTTCTTATCGATTCAACTTTACTATTTGTACACTGATTTTTAAAACGTTATTTGACACTTGTATTTTTGTCAAAGTTCAATTGGATGGGAAAGCTGTTAGGAATTTAATCTATCCAATAGGGTAATGTCTCATGGCAAAGTCTAAACTAAAGTGTACACCATAGTGTATATGTAGCAAGGTTCTTACCGATTGAACTTTGCTATTCGTACATAGATTTTTGACACGTTGTTTGAAACTTGCATTGTCGTCAAGTGTCAATTGGACTAGAAAACTGTTTGAAATTTAAATTGCCCAATAGGGTAATGTCACGTGGCAAAGTGTAAACTAAAGTGTACAACATAGTATACGTGTAGCAAGGTTCTTATCGATTGAACTTTTCTATTTGTACACTGATTTTTGACACGTTGTTTGGCACTTGCATTGTTGTCAAGTGTCAATTGGATGGAAAAACTATTTGAAATTTCAACTATCGGGCTGGGTAATGTCACATGGCAAAGTTTAAACTAAAGTGTGTACACCGTAGTGTACATGCAGCAAAGTTCTTAGCGATTGAACTTTGCTATTTATACACAGATTTTTGACATGTTGTTTGACGCTTGCATTGTTGTCAAGTGTCAATTGGATGGAAAAACTATTTGAAATTTAAACTGTCCAACAGGGTGATGCTACATTGCAAACTGTAAACTAAAGTGTACGCCATGTACATGTCGCATGGTTCTTACCGATTGGACTTTGCTATTTATACACTAATTTTTGACAAGTTGGTTTAACACTTCCATTGTTGTCAAGTGTCAATTGGATATGAAAACTGTTTGAAATTTGAATTGCCCTATAGGGTATGTCTTGTGGCAAAGTGTAAACTAAAGTTTACACCATAGTGTACATGTAGCAAGGTTCTTACCGATTTGACATTGCTATTTGTACATTGATTTTGACACATTGTTTGGCCCTTGCATTTTTGTCAAGTGCCAATTTGATGGGAAAACTATTTGAAATTTAACCTGTCTAACAGGGTAATGTCGCGAGGCAAAGTGTAAACTAAAATGTACACCATAGTCTAAATGTCGCAAGGTTCTTTCCGATTCAACTTTGCTATTTGTACATTGACTTTTAACACGTTGTTTGACACCTGCATTATTATCAAGTGTTAATCGGATGGGAAAACTATTAGAAATTTAAACTATCCAACAGGGTAATGTCTCGTGACAAAATGTAAACTAAAGTGTACACCATAGTGTATATGTAGCAAGGTTCTTACCGATTGAACTTTACTATTTGTACACTAATTTTTTACTTAGACTGGAAAACTATTTGAAATTTAAACTGTCCAACAGGGTAATGTCACGTGACAAAGTGTAAACTAAAGTGTACATCATAGTGTACGTGTAGCAAGGTTCTTACCGATTGAACTTTTCTCTTTGTACACTGATTTTTGACGCGTTGTTTGACACTCGCATTGTTGTCAAGTGTCAATTGGATGGGAAAACTGTTTGAAATTTAAACGGTCCAGTTGGGTAATATCACATGGCAAAGTGTAAAGTAAAGTGTGTACACCATAGTATACGTGTAGCAAGGTTCTTAGCGATTGAACTTTGCTATTTGTACAATGATTTTTGACACGTTGTTTGACACTTGCATTGTTGTCAAGTGTTAATTGGATGGAAAAATTGTTTGAAATTTAAACTATCCAACAGGGTAATGTCACGTTGTAAAGTGTAAACTAAAGTTTACTAAATTTTACGCCTTAGTGTACATG